GTTCGTAATAGGTTTATTTTGATTTTGTTTTGTTCGTGGGAATTCAATTTCGTTAAAACATTTTTCAATAAAATAATTTGGATAATTATTGAAATATAGAATTTCTTTGATAAATTGTTTTTCTTTGGAAAAATTAGATTGATTACAAATTATTTTTGCTCTATCATATAGACTTTTACGATATCTTTTTTAACCATTATCGGGTGATTTGAGTCGAAATTCAAATATCAGTTAGTATGAGTAGGTTTTCTATAGACCAAGCTTTCGAAATTGTCTAAATTTTTTTGAATTAGTATATCGAGAAAAAGAATTTGGTGATGTTGTTCTTTTACAATAGTGAATTTAATTGTTGGTTCTTTATTATTCAGATAAGATAAAAATTCACCAATTATTATTATAAACACCACCCTGTATATTATTTCAACCGTTCAACACTTTCGATATTGAATCCTTAGTAGGTTAAATAATGGTGCAAAATTGAAGCTTCAACAACCAAAATTTGGAAAACTCCCGGTTTTGAGGCATTCAGGTTTGAAGAAAAAATTCTTAACTGGACATATTTTATAAAACCCGCTATATATTTCCAAGTAAATGGTCGACCATCCTGTAAATCCTCATCTTATATTGCTCTTGTAACGTGCCGGAGCGAAGCACGTTTTTCCTTATAAAATAACGCCAGCATCATGAAAAGATATTCAAATGAACTTTATTTAAAGGACGTTGCTAAAAGTTGTAAAATTCAAGACTGTAATAATTATGCACCGAATGCTGCAACGAGCCGTAATGGAGTTCTTGTCGCCGACCGAGACTACCTAATAAGACGTTAATAGAGGAATTATTTGCTCTTGTCAGTCTAAAGTTGTCCGACAATGATTTTTCTTAATTAAGCCGAAGCTCCTGGAAAGTTTTCGATGCAGGAACTAGTCGTGAGCCAGACTTTCGCAACCAATATTGGCGCCCCAGAACGGCATTTTCATAAACATGAATATTAGATTTTCTGTATTAATATGAATGAGTCGACACTGAGAGGATTTGCCATCAAACTCACCGAAATCTGTATTTAATGCTCATTAAGGATGCGAAATTTGTTTGTGAGAAATGCATGCGAGCGACTAATTGGATATAAGGGATTAATGGCGATGCGTTTATACATTCGTACTCGCTCAAGCGTTGCTTGGAACTCTATGGGAGGAAAAATCGTTTGCTTGATCCAAAACGAAACAGCCATCTCCAGAAAAATGCGAAGTGTGTTTTTCCCATCGCTATTCTTTGCAGGCGCATTAAAAATTCATTTTATAAATTAGATTCACTTATCCAGACAGAGCGTGTGGTAGGAAGGAAGATTGACACGAACACATGTCTCACGTTCACTTAGTTGAGGAACGATGAGGCCTGCATATGAATTAGGGCCGATAACTTTTCAGCCCTATATTGCTCCTGCATATTTTCCTTGTATTGGATTTTCGTCGTCTAGCTGGAATGGAGGCGTGTGGCCTCTAACTTAATTAAATGTTGCTTTGCTTCTGAACTTACCGCTCATTGCGTACTGGCTTCTGCTTTGCGCTCGATGCATGGCGCTGAATGGAAGAACTTGCAGCTTGGTGGCTCTGCGAAGCAACCGCTCTGCATCAGTGGAGCTGCCGCTCCAACTCTCCAAAGAAATGTTGTCGATCGCCAGAATTTGATCCCCTAAATTCGCAATTGGTAAGCAACTATATCATTCCTCCCAGGTCTGCTTACCTATGGACAATGCCCCACATCGATCTGCAGTGCTTGCAGCCAGTACTCTTTCCACATAATAACCTGCAGCCATAATGTCGTTTTGAGAAGCTTCTGATTCTAAGAGCGGGTTGCAATTGCTCAGAATCAGGCCGAACTCTTCTTCGGCTTGCCTGCAAAATTCATCCTGGAAGCTTTGCAGGGCTGAATATTCGGAAGTTTACCTGTCGATTTCCACTAGAAGCGGCCCATTCGCGTATTTTACGGATTCCATTACGCTAACATCGTATTCAATGGTTACAGTTGACAAGGAGAGTCCATGGGGGCTACATCCTCCAGTGTCTCGAAGGATTTGCTGCGCTTCCATCAGCGTTTTATTCACTAACGAGTATCTGTCTATTTTCAGCAGCCGATCTCCCACTCGGATTAAGCCGCTCCTGCAATAATAAAATATGAATCATTCGGTTTCTGTCTTAATCAAATGTTGCTCGCATTTTCGGGGGGCCGAGTGGAGTTTTCTGGAGGAATAATTTGCAGTTGCTTGGGGAAGTGTTATAGTTGAAAATATCCTGGGCGCAGGCAAATTTTTAAAACGCTATGCTTTGAAAAGGCCTTTCATTGCTATCTTCGGAGGTTCTGCAATTGTTTAATTAGGGATCACTCCCAATTTGAACAATTTTAAAACACGAGTATCTGTTTATTTATTAACTCAAAAGCCACCAAAGAAGCTTTATAGTCCTCGGTGCATAGCATTAAATAGCTAAACATTAAACGGGCCCAACTTTTTACAACTAGATTTACGTCAAAGTAAACATAAAATCCCATAGTAGAAGCTTGAAAAGTTTCGGTGTATATAAAGAAGCAGATGAACTTCAAAAATTATCAAGCGTCTACAAAGAGCCTATTGAACATTTTGCCCTGTTTATTCTAGTGTCTAGCGATAATTCAACAAAAAAAGATCAATTAATTAATTTTCAAATTAGTGTCAGTAAAATGGTGAACAATTCCAATCGAGTAAACTAGATGAATCCGAACCCAATATACAACTCAATCCAGCTCATAGAAAAGTTGGGCCAAACTCATAAACAAGCCGTTTAATTTTCCTAGTTTTATTACATTCGGGCAAGTCACATTAAGGGTGAACCCAAGAAAAGTTTATTTGTTTCGCGAACTGATACTCAATTTATCGGGAAACTTTTTTAATCCACCATCCCTCCACTGGTAGTGCTAGTAAATAAGTTAGCAAAGTTCAGAGCAACAGGAAATTAAGACGTTCTAAAGATATATTTATCTATAAGTGGCTTTGCCATTACCAGTCGAAAGTGAAAGATGGGTTTTTAAAATAAGGAGCCGAGAAATGAATCATTGATTGCGTGAGTTCGACTAACTTCCAGCGGTTATTATTCACACCTGCTTCTCGAAGAATTATGGCGACACGGAATTAAGCACCAAAATCGAAGTTTTTCCAGTTTTTCCATAAGTCTGTAAAGTTGGCCATATATTCAACTTATTCTCGACTTTATCGCCTGCTTCTATAATAACAATGTCGGCACTTATATGGAAATATTTTATGGAGTTTGCCTTCGAAGTTTTCAATGTAAGATACACTCAGTGAACAGTGACGCTTTCAGGTCAAAGGAGTTTTTAAGTTTTCGTCAATTTTCCTAAGCTAGCAACGATCTGGTCATAAGGCTAATAGTTGAAAAGTCGTTCGGGCCAACTTAGAAAATTCCGAAAACTCAAGGTTGATTAACTTTCCGGCTACACTAGCCATGGAAGCTGGAAGTTTTTCAACTTTGCCACTCCAACTATTCTCATTGCTCCTTAAAATCGATTAGCCCTAATTGCCGCTTAATGCACCCCACTTAGTAAAAAGTTTCACATTTACATGATTCGCCGACGGGAATAAAAACCGACTAGTTTTTCCACAGTTACAAATGAGTTTCGAACATCTTATCGCATCCAACAAGCAAAGCGAACAACAATCCATCATCCGAGTGGACTTGAAATAGATATGTCAAGATACATCTCGGGCTTTCTCTGTTTTTTATCGTTTCACATCAGAATGCTTGTCATGTAATTTATATTCGCTTTTCCGTAATATCAAAAAGTAATACTTATTTGACGCAGGCCTTCATCCATTTCGGACGGGCCCGTATTAGCATAATCAATTTTCAAGCTATTAAAATTTCATTCCTGCTGCTCGTATTTGTTCGACTTGACGCCAATTTTCTATCGTTGTTTGCCCATCGGGAACTTTTCCATTGCCTTTTTGTTGCAGTAAAAAAAGCAAGGGAATTTCGGGGATTTTTACTCAAATCTACGCGGTCATTTAAGAGGGTTTTTTTTTGGGGCAAAAAATATTAGGACATGGTCTTTAGGATGTCATTTCAATATTTAAATAATCCCCTATGAGTAAAGGAGTTAAGACACATGTGCAGTTTTTAAAGCAGGATTAGACGGAAAATGATAGTGGATTGAGGTGATTATATGGAGACATTTAAGAAAATTTGTTTGGGTTCTATCGGGATCACAATTTTTTTCGTTGAAAATTGACCAAAAGGGGCATAAACGGCATATTTTTGGCGCTGCTTTGCTTTATTACTTCAAAATAATTCTCTATCGAACCATGCCAAAACGAATTCTGTGGGTCAAATGGTTCTTGAAAAACTTGGAAAGAAACAGCTTCATGTTTGAGTCGATTTTGCAACTCAAAAAAAAACAGACACATCTAAAACTTCTTAAAATCAAAACTACTCAAATTTCCTTACACATGTTGTTATGAATGAACCGGATTTTAAATTCTATATCCAACTATGCTAAAAACGAGTTCTGTGGCTCAAATGGTTCGTGGAAAACTTGGAAAAAAGCAGCGTCATGTTTGAGTCGATTTTGCAACTCAAAAAAAAACAGGCACCTCTAAAACTTCTTAAAATCAATACTTTTTTGAGAGAACTGCCAACATTTCTTAACCGATGGTCCACTTTCGGAAAATGCCATTTAGTTCTCTGTGGAATGATGTAAAAATGATTGCTCTTGCCGGTTTTGCTTTCGAGAAATGAGCAATAACGCGACGGAAATCATGAAATTTTGGCATAATCTTGCACCTAAATGTCTGATATTCAAATTTGGCTTTATGGGTCAAAACTGCTCAAATTTCCTAACACATGTTGTTATGA